ATCTCCCTCTGCCTGTGACTCTGCCTCTCTTTGTGTCTCTCATGAATGAATAAATAAAATCCTTAAAAATAAAAAAAAATTTAAAAATTAAAAAAAAAAAACGTAACTAAGGAAAAAGGAACAAGGACTAGATACCTGATGATATTAAGGACTCAGAGCCCATTTGGGTGACATTATAACAATATCACGGTTCTGTTTTTAAAGTTCCTGGCATTTCAGAAAAATTATGGATGAAATAGGACATCTAGAATTTGCTATCAAATATTCTTGCACTGGAAAGGAAGATGAGAAAGAAAGAAGAAAAAGAAAAAGAAAAACAAAAAACAAAAAGAAAGGAAAAAGGAGAGAAGAGATTAGCGAGAACGATGACAAAGTAAGTGGACAGCTCAAACACCATTTCAACTGAAGCCCTTAAACCTCATGACTTCTTTTTACTATTCTAATAAATGATGAAAGCTATGGCCTATACTTTAACTTTCCAAAGAATCTGATAGAACGTCTGTCACTGCACCACAGGTAATATTACATTTATACTTCAATTATGCAATCCTGAATATTTTTCCTCTGTTTCTATTTATACTTAATAATTTGCCATCATTTGTTTCCAAAGGTAATTCAAACTTTACCCTCTTATGTCATCAGTGAAAGGGACAGCAATCTCCTCCAAACTCAGTTTTTAGTTAGATAATTAAAGCACTCTGGTGATTTTTTTTTTCACCTCCTCCTTAGCTTCCGAGATAAGAATGTTAAACTTCCTAACTTTATAAAAATATAGCCTAGCTTTCAATGGTTCTGCAGAACAGGTTCACCTGTATTTTCTCACTAGCACAAGCAAACTTTCAAATTAAGGAGTATAAACATCATCTCTGTTTTAAAAATAAAGGGCCCAGGGTTAAAAAGTAACCTGTGAAACCACATCTACTTCCAGCATGCCACCAAAGTGCAGACCACCCACTGCACACAGTAGTAAACACCTCTGGGCACCACAGTGCTCTTCACTAGTTGGGAGGCATGCAAAGCTCCTTCACAGCAAAACAGGGCAGCACGAGAATAAACTGGCATTAAATGACGACAAAATATTTTTCAATGTCCACGTTCTGGAATGATATTCCAATTACTCCAGTGACTCAAGCCATCCCACGTCCATGAATGACTTCTCCCCCCACCCCTGTCCTCTAAGATTCCACTTATTTATTCATGAGAGACACAGAAAGAGGGGCAGAGACACAGGCAGAGGGAGAAGCAGGCTCCCCACGGGGAGCCCGACGCAGGACTCAGTCCCAGGACTCCAGGGTCACACCCTGAACCAAAGGCAGATAGATGCTCAACCACTGAGCCACCCAGATGCCCCCACAGGTAGCTAACCTGTGATCATGATGAACAATGGAGAGCATTCCTACCACAAAGCCAGCATCCAGACAGCTTCTCCCACCACTGGGAACATTTATCACGGGAAGCAGACTGTGGCCCAGAGAGACCATCAAGTACCAAGAAGACAGTTCTTGAGAAAACTGTGGTCTGAAGTTCAGATAGTAACACTGAAACGTTATCTCATTATCAAGTGGTCCCGTTGTCTCATTTAAACACATGTAACTATTTTCCTTCCTTTACTAACTGCATCGTATCAAATAAAACACCTAAGGTACCAGGAGCTATAGTGTGGCAGTAACCTAAAACGTGAGGAAGAAAAGGAAAAGTGTAAAGTTGACAAACTCAACTCAAGTTGTTCTAAGTTTAAGATACCTCATGTGAGGACAGCCCCAGTGGCGCAGCGGTTTAGCACCACCTACAGCCTGAGGTATGATCCTGGAGACCTGGGATCGAGTCCCATGTCGGGCTCCCTGCGTGGAGCCTGCTTCTCCCTCTGCCTGTGTCTCTGCCTCTCTCTCTGCCTCGCTCTATGTCTCTCATGAATAAATAAATAAAATCTTTTTTTTAATAAATTCATAAAAAAAATATATATCTTATGTGAGCCTCAGGGCAACCACACAGAAAAATCCTGCACTACTTACACAAAACAACTAAGAAGTCAAAACATACAAAAAAGACACCAAGAAACAAAAAAGCAGGATAAGAATCATGGAATAATGGATCTACAAAACAACCAGGACACAATGAACCAAGTGACAAAAATAAGTCCTTACCTATAATAATTACTTTAAATGTAAGAAAATTAAACTATCCAATTAAAAGATACAGACTGGGTCAAAAGATTAAAAAAAACCGAAAACATTAACAAAAAAAAAAAAAAGCAAAACAAAACAAGAAACAAGGTCCAACAATATGCTGCACAGAGACTTACTTTGGCCTTAAAGACACACCTCACGTGGAGAGTGAAGGAATGGAGGAAGGCATTTCAAGCAAATGGTAACCAAAACCAAACCAAAACAAAGAAAGTAGCTATATTTGTATTGGACAAAATAGACTTTAAAAGTAGTAAAGAGAAACAGAGACCATTATAAATGATAAAGAGGTCAATATAACAAGATGATACAACAACTGTAAATACTCCTTACCCAACACTGGACCACCTAAATATACAAAGCAAAAACAGAACTAAAAGGAGAGACAGACAGTAAAACACTAGCCGTTGCCATCTTTGACACCCCACTCTCAACAATGGGCGGATCATCCAGACAGAGAATCCGAAAGGGAACAGCGGATCTGTTTCCACTACAGACCCAGCGGGCCCAACAGATGTACACGGAGCAGTCTACCCAACAACAGCAGAACACACGTTCTTCTCAAGTACACACAGAACAGTTTCTAGAAGGGACCATATGTTAGGCCATAAAACAAGTCTTAACAAATTCAAGAAGACTGAGATCATCTTTTCTGTCCACAAGAGCACAGAACGAGAAATCAGTAGCAAGAGGGAAACTGGAAAATTCACTCACGGACGCATGGAAATTAAACAACATTCATTTGCCAATGGATGAAAGAAGAAATTAAAGGAAATTATAAAGGGTTCCTGAGGGGCGCCTGGCTGGCTCGGTTGGTAGAGCATGTGACTTCTAACCTCCGGGTTGTAAATTCGAGCCCCGTATTTAGTGTAGGGGTTACTTTAAAAATAAATAAATGAATAAATAAATGAATGAATGGTTCTGGGCACAAACAAAAACAGGAGCAACATATCAAAAGTTGGGAGATGCAGCAAATGCAGTTCTAAAAGCAAAGTTCACAGCAATAACCACCTATATTAAGGAACAAGAAAGAGTGCACATAACCTAATTCTATGCGTTAAGGATCTAGAAAGAGAAGAGCAAAGTAAGCTCAAAGGTAGCAGAAGATAATATTTGACAGGGGAGCCAAGAACACTCAGTGGAGAAAAGACAGAGCAAATTGGATAAGGGATTAATATGCAAAATACATAAAGAACTTATAAAATTCAATAGCAAATGACAACAACAAAATTCAAAAATAGGCAAAGGATCTGTCTCCAAAGAACATATACAAAGGCCCAACAGGTACATGAAAGGGTCTTCAACACCAATCATCAGGGAAACGCAAATCAAAAGCACAAGGAGATACCACCCCATGCTTGGTAGAAGAGCCACCACGAAAAAGACAAGAAAATGCTGTTAAAAATACGGAGGAAGGGGAACCTTTGTGCACTTGGTAGGAACGTCAATTTATACAGCCACTACACAAAACAGTATGGAGGACCCTCCAAAGAATTAAAAATAGAACTACCACAGGACCGTGAAATTCCATTTCTGGAAATACATCCAAAGGAAATGAAAACCCTAACTTGAAAACACATCTGCACGCCCACATGCAGAGCAGTATTATTTATAATAACCAAGACACGGACACAACCTAAGTATCCATTGACGGATGAAAGGATAAAGAAGCCGTGACACACACACACACACACACACACACACACACACACACACACACGGATATTATTCAGCCATAAAAAAAAGTGAGGAAATCCTATCACTTGTTACAACATGGGGGAACCTTGAAGGCATTATGCTGAGTGAATTAACAGACAGAGAAAGACAAATACTGGGGCTCCTGGGCAGCCCAGTGGTTGAGCATCTGCCGTCAGCTCAGGCCGTGATCCCAAGGTCCCAAGATCGAGTCCCACATCGGGCTCCCCACAGGGAGCCCGCTTCTCCCTCTGCCTGTGTCTCTGCCGCTCTCTGTGTTTCTCACACCTAAATCAATAAAATCTTTAAAAAGAAAGACAGACAGACAAATACTATCTGATCTCACTTACATGTGGGCAAAAAGAAACCTCACAAGGAAGAGCAAATTTGCGGTTACCATAGGCAGAGAGTGAGGAAAGGGGGAGGAGGAGGAAGGTGGTCAGAAGGTATAAATTTCCAGTCATAAGGTAAGAACGAGGGAAGGACAGCACAAACAGCGATCCGGCTAGCACTGTCGCATGGTATACAGGAAAGTCGTTACAGTAAATCCTGACAGCCCCCATCACACAAAGAAGTTTGCTTTCCTCCCCCCCTTTTTTTCTTTTTATTGTATCTTTATGGGAAGATGGATGTGAGCCTAACTTACTGTGATGATCATTTCACAGTTATTCGTAAATCAAATCATCATGCTCATCTATACCTTAAACTTACACAGTGATGAATGTCAATTATTTCTCAATAAAACTGCAAAGAGAGAGAGAGAGAGAGAGAGAGAGAGAAGGAACACGTGGCTGTGGGGAGAAGAAGAATCTCAGAATGCCTGAGAGAAGTAGCTGTCGCCAATCCGCAAGGTGGACGGAGGACCTTGCTCTCTCACGGGCTGGCTCTGCTCTATCACGATACTTTAATTTCCAAGAACTGATTGCTCCCCTCTATTCCTTCCAACAACGGATGATTATAATGAATGAAGCATAAATTTCTCAAAAACAATCTTGGAAATTAAAAAGTGCACCTAATTAAAATATAGCAAACATAAAGAGGCTTTAAAAATAGGGACTGAACCATACCACATGACCATGTGTTGATATGCTATATGCTCCAAATGTGAACCAGAGAAAATACCTCTTTGGACTTTTCTTCTTTGGTAAATCTTCCGAATTTTTCTATCATTTCAGCCACAAATATAACATCCATCTTGTCAGAAAAATTGGCGGCTTCCACAGTATAAGCCAGTAACTGTCGGGCTGTGGCCACAGCATTAGTAAGATTGAGAGGCATCTAGATTAAAAAGGCAAAAACGATCAACGAATTTTGACATTTTATCTTTCCATTTCAAAACACGGCAATGAATTCAAACTCTATCATTTATCACAGGATCTTCTAAAAATGCTTTTTCAAACCTGAGAAAACTGGAATTATAATGGCAACTAATCCTGATTTTTTTTTTAACTTTGAAACGTAGTCATACATCAAAACACATCTAGTGAATACACTGCACCATGTCTCCGTCTCTCCTTATCCAAATTCTGCACATACTCCATTCCAATTGCCAAGTAAAGTCTTTCCTGAGTATTCCAACTGGGGGGAATCAATAACCCCCCCTGGAGCCCCTATGCACGGGAGTAGGAAGCATTTATCGGTACTGCCACGCGCTGCCAGTGATGTCTTACATTTGCTTATTTATTGACTTAACACAACTCGGCACCAACCATTACGCAAAGGGTGTAACAGGTACCAAGGAGCGCCAGAAAATGTGTAACACGGAAATCGTCTCCCAGCTGCTTATAATCTGGCCAGGTTGGAAAAAGGATGCATCGGAGCAAAGACAGGAAAGGCCGTATGAGTAGTACACGTATGACAAGGGATCGCTTGTGACAAAGAGATTATAAAAGAAGCCCAAGAGGTGGCTTCCCAGATGGATTTGAAGGATGGCTGGGATTTGGTCCAGTGGATACAGATGATAAAGATATTCAAACAAAGGCAGTGACTGGAAAGGAAGACTGACAGCACAGGGAGCCTTGAATACGGGAGGAGCTGACAGGCCTGATCCTGAAGACAGATCCACTGAATGTAAACACACAAAATCCTTATGCTTTACTAGTATTTAAAACACACAAATACCTGGTATTTCAGCTAAATCAGCAAATGGGAAGACTTAGTAGTTACCTGATTAAACATATAAAGCACCCTGGTGACATCGTTCGCATACTGGCAGCGAGAATAATCATCATCTGCCCAGAAGCCACCTCGATCGCATCTGCGCCAAGCCTTCCTCTCATCCTGTGGGTTTCCGGGATAGATCCCGCTGCCGTGGGTGTTCCGGGTACACTGAAGATACGCGGTAATGCCTGCTAACGTTCTGGGCCATCTAGGCAGATGAAGACACAAGGGTATGAGAAAACCCACGCGGACGCAAATTACAGCGGAGGTGTAAATCCAGGACTAGAACAGGTCATGTATGATCAGAGAGAGATCAACAAGAAACAAATTTGGGCAGCCTGGATGACTCCGTGGTTTAGCACCGTCTTCAGCCCAGGGTGTGATCCTGGAGACCCGGGATCGAGTCCCACGTCGCGCAACCTGCACAGAGCCTGCTTCTCCCTCTGTGTCTCTGCCTCTCTCTCTCTGTGTCTCTCATGAATAAATAAATAAAATCTTAAAAAAAAAAAAAAAGAAGAAAGTAATTCCTTTCAGAATAAAGACTTAAAAAAAAAATGAAAAGGTTAGCATGGACTAAACTGCTTTAAACCATCAGCCACATATATTTTAATACCAGAGGATATTTTTCTTAAAATGTTCTAAATATTGCTATAAACACACAGGAAAACTTATATCCAGTAAAAAAAAAAAAATTTTTTTTAAAAAGAAAACCGGTTCAAAAGATGGCACAGAAGCAGAGTTAGCAGAAGTGCGGACAAGAGTCACACAGCAGGTGCAGGACTGCTACGCTTAGCCGCTGGCCGTTCAGTGGCACCTAGGAATTTGGGACTTGGGGGTATTCCTATGAACAGTTAACTGGTGAGGGCTGTTGGTCATGCCTAGACTGTTTGGACAAGCAGTACAATTGATGCTGAAACCTGCTTTCTTCCCAGGAGTCTGAAACTTTGGTACATGCTAGATGGGGGAGGGGGCGCCCACATGACCAGCAATAAGAACTTTGGGTGCTGAGTCTCCAATGGGCTTCCCTGAGCAGCAGCATGTATGGAGGTTGCTGCCCTTTCACGGCTGGACGAGTAAGAAGAGGCCTGCGTGGATCTCTCCAGAACGCACCTATGTCCTTCCCCTTGTTATCCTGCTACGTATGTTCCTAAAGCTCTGTACTAGATCTCAGGTGTGACTACAACTACATGCTGGGTCCTGTGAGTCCTCCTCGCAAACTTTTGCACTGGGGAAGGTCTAGCAGACCTCCAACACACTACACAACTGAACTTATCCGGGAGAAAGTACTGCCTCTGCAAGTGACCACACAAACCTGTGGCCACGGATTGTCACTAACAGTAGGGAGAAATCTTCGCCATTTGAGCTCCATTTCTCCAAAATTGGGAATGAAATGAATAGATTTCATAAAAGTTACAGTTGACCTATAACACAGGAACTGATAAATTATAATAGCAGTCATACCAAAATATAATTGATTACCAAAATCTGCATAAACAGATTAAACAACACTAAAATCTTATTAATGCAGTGAAAGTGGAACTGCATAATATACTAAGGAGTGTCAAAAGCTGATTCATTAATCAGTCAAATAATCAGATTCTTCTTCTATTTTTAAAAATGTAAAATACTCAAATCATGAGCAAAAATAGAAAATCCACCATAAATATAAAACATTATGACTACTTAATAAAAGATGCAGAATATAACGAAATTCACAAGTGTTATCTATTCTGTTTTAAAGTATACAGAATAAATACTATCTATTAACAGTTAATCTACATAAAGTTCTTAAGCTTTATTGGCAGCAATAAATGCTAATTTCCATATACTCAGGTCAGGGAGATTTTTTTTTTTAAAGGACGAAAGATATTTTTTTTTTAAAAAAAAGCAATGAAGAACTAGCTGAGCTGAAGATGTTGCTATTGCTTCTTCACCTTGGATTTAAAAGATTAAAACCAAAGGGTTTTCTTACCCTTAAAACTTGGGCAGTTAGGAGAACCAAAGTCAGGCAGTACTAACTGGCTACTCAACAAACTTTACGGTGCTTTAAAGAGCCACACAGTTCCCTTCATTTACATCAACTATAAAGTCATTATTAAAATCCTGAATGTAATAAACATTAAATAAGTAATATACTTTAAAGATGTTTTTTAAACAACCTTCAAAGTACGGAGAGTCTAAGGGAAAAGTTGTTACCTCTCATAAATTCTAAATTTTCTATTTAAAAAAGATTGTAATATTTAACTTATTCTGCTTACCTCAACACAGAGGCCAATACTAATGGCTCCCAAAGTTACGGGCCAGCCAAAAGCTTTCATTTCCAAAGTCCTTCTTGCTTAGAACCAAACTGGGGGGCACACCTGGGTGGCTCAGTGGTTGAGCGTCTGCCTTTGGCTCAGGTCATGACCCCACGGGGTCCTGGGATCGAGTCCCACATCAGGCTCCCTGCAGGGAACCTGCTTCTCCTTCTGCTTGTGTCTCTGCCTCTCTCATGAATAAATGAATAAAATCTTAAAAAAAAAAAAAAAAAAAAGAACCAAACTGGGGACGGTAATGGACCATGGCTTTCTCCTAATTACCATGTCTACTTAACTGCTGATAGTTAAAAGTAACTCAGCAATACGAAACCTTCCAAAGTTCATCCATAAAAGAGCCCTTGAAAAACAGGACATACCATTAGCCTGTCTGAATTTCACAATTTTAACAGAATTTCCAAAACGTTTCCCTAAAGTAGTGGTTCTTAACTTTTACAACAAACTGTTAAACATGAAACACTCTGCCTGCAGAGACTGCTAAATCAACATATCCGAGATAAAGCTCAGACACCTTTTCTTCATCATCTTCATGAATGACTGAAATCACTGGTCTAAAGGGCAGTCCTTGGATATAGAAGGATATTTAGAGGAATACATAGATATTTCTCAAATTTTCTTCTTGAGGACGGGGGACCAATTATGCACCTTTAAGAATAAAAACAGATGTGGGCAAATCACTTTTCCAGCACTTTCCATGTCACTGACCTGAAATCACCTTTATTGTTTACCACCCTCTCGGGAGGACAGTACTGTGCAGAGCTTTCCAATACCACGATATCGACAGTTCTCGTATTATTCCCACGTTTGGTCTGGACATGACAGCCCCAATTTCCAGTCGATCCAGCCTGAATATTAGAAATGGTTAGGGCACTGCATGAAGAAAGATTTTAAAAAGAGAGAAAAAACTGGTTAGACAAACAAGGGAGACACCCTAGGCTCCTATCATTCACTTAGCAAGTATGTCTGAATGCATGCTGTGGGCACAGCACTTGCCAGATAAAAACGAACTTAAAAAAACGATCCCTCCACGCAAGTACCTCAGCGGCAAGTCAAGACAAGCAGGGGAAGAGCTACTTAAAACACTGGCGAGAGCTATGACGGACGTATGAACGGAGCGCAAGGGGACATCATGCCCGACACTCCTGCCAGGAGGGGTGGGGGGGGGACGCAGCCAGGAGGGGACACAGCAAGTGCAAGGACAGAAACATCACATTCTCGGGCAAAACTAATGGAGATGTTTCCAAGTTCCGGCTACCTTTTCACTGATTCGGAGGGAAAGAGTCAAGCGCGAAGGAAGGAGATGGATATTGGTTAGTGAATAATTAAGAAAATATTTAAGGTAAAATATTTAGCAGAAGAACTCATCAAGTCTCTAAAAAGATTTAATAAATTACCAATTACTGCTTTAACAAAGGGAGTTTTCCATGTAAAGGTATACTTCCATTTAGAAGACGGCTATATTTCTAAATAGCTGTCAGTAAATTCAATTTTCAAGATGAATTCCTAATTCTCTAATACAAAGCCTATTAATTAAAGAGCAGATGTCAGAACCTTCAATTAACCTTTCTCCCCGCCACACGAACCACCGTGCTATGCTTTTACATAAACAGAAAAGTAGGAGATAATTAGACATAAAGGATGTATCATCTTAATTAATCGACAAAGTTATGTCTTGAAGTTAATACACATTTTTCCAGCCTCCTAAATGACTAATGGCTACACGACATCGTACGTTCTAATGAAGACTTTGAGGCACTGTTACTCTGAATCAAAGAAAATGTTTATCATCCTTGTTAATTAAGTCAGTGAATAAAGCAATACGCTGTAATAAATACATTCGAGATAACGTGATACAAAAAGTATTTTATATTAAATCTAAATAGCCAAATTCCGAAATAAATAATCATTCTCCAGTGCAGAGGTTCCCAAATTTTCCTGGTTCACGGCATCTTCACTGACCAGAAAACTGTTTCGCAGAGTAAATTAAATTAAAATTCCATTTACTAAATTAAATCCCCAAATTGTGTATTTATGTCCTAATAAATTCATGGCCATTTGAAAAATATAACACACATCAATTTGAGATAAATATTTTGTTCTTACATAACCACAAGTACTTCCCGATGGGTTGTGTGTGTCTGTTGAGCACTCCAAAACCAACCTAACGTCAGAGAGAGGACAGACAACGATACCCTCCTTGCATGTTCCACAATGACTTTCACACAGTACTTGCTCCGCACCATAGTCATCACCAAAAATTTGTCACCCTCAAGCATGGCACCAGCAAAAGGAATGCAGCACCATCGAATGACACCATTAACTGCCTGGAGCTGGTTGCCGTGTGGTGTCCAACAAATGTCAAGCATTACCACGCTTCTTCCAAAACTCAAAATACCCCACACAGCAGCTCTGTAAGTGAAGTCCCTGTGACGGCCCACGTCAGCACACCCCCTGGGACCTAAGGGCCTAACATACTTTGCCAACAAGTTTTTAAAGAAAACCTTTAGCAAAACCTTCCACGTCTAAAACCAATGATCAGAATACAATTTTCAGCAATCCTCAAGGCCGCGTGCTTGGAGATTTAAGGAGGAAGATGCTTCCTCCTCTTCCATTTCATCTTTGAGGAACAGCACAAACTCTGATTCTTACTAGCAAAGGATGGAGGACATAAGGAAACCAACAAAGAATCAACAACTGCCTCGGGTTAACCAATGCAACAACCGTTATCTCCTTTTCCTGCAACTTCTTTATTATGCAAGGCAAATTCAGGGTAGAGGACCTCAGTCTTCCTATGAAAGATTTTCATGTTGGTCAAGAGTCCCTCCCAACAAAACGATCAGGCAAGGATGCTAACCTTAGAATTAATTTTTTAGACTGCTATAAAGAACTTAAACTATGACTCACAGAAATAAACTTATATTCTAGTTATCTTATAGCTGCAAAATTTAAGAGTTCTAAATTAGAGAGAAAGCGGGAGCACAGGCAGGTGGAGGGGGGTGCAGAGGGCAAGGAGGAGAAGGAGAGAAAGAATCTTAAGCAGGCTCCACGTCCAGCATGGGGTCCAATGTGGGGCTCAATCTCATGACCCTGAGATTATGACCTGAGCTGAAATCAAGAGTCAGACACTTAAGCAACTGAGCCACCCAGGCGTCCCAGGGTTCTATATATTTTTAAAGCTTTACTGTCGTATGATATGTCAATTACCATTAATTCATGTAAGAAACTGCTTAAAGCACACACCTTAATGAGTTTTAACACACGTATATGCTTATGAAATTATCACCACACTACAAGTACGGTAATAATTAAGATTCTTCTCAGTGGCACCTAGTAAACTGTTTCTAACAATCTTCTCCCCCTGATAAAGGAACTCTGATTCTGGTCGTCGCAGACCGGCTTCTGTCAAACTACCCTCCCTGCAGTTAACAATTATTTATAAGCCCTGGACAAACTACAAAATGACAACTATCGGAACACATGGGCAGCGATCCAAAACAAGCAGAAACCAGAGAGAAGGTGACCCTGGGAAGAAGGGATGAGCACTGAGGACTAAGACCAGGAAATCGTTTCCAATGGCGTTTGCCCAAGGATAGGCCATACTCAAACAGAAATTCAGTCTAACCTGTTGACAAATCAGAGGACCGAGGTAGAAAGGAACCTGGCTGGAAGCCCAAACTTCTGCGTATAAAACCTACCCAGATCTCTAACCGGCCCCTGCTTCCCACAGACAGGGTGACACCGAGCCGACTTCAGCTGCTGCTACATCACAGAAAGGACAGAAGTAGGAGTTTGACTTTAGCCCAACTAACTGCTTGAGGAAACAAAAACCAGCCGACTTCAAGCAAACACAAGGGAACCCAGAGTCAGGGATATGCACACTTTTCCTTTAAAGGCCAGAGAAGAATTATTTTAGGCTTTTCTGGCCAAGAAGCAACATCAAGGATATTATATAGGTAGTTACATAACCATCTGAAATGTAACCAGTTACCAAGGTAAAAAATATTCTTGGCCCATAGGCTGGACTCTGACAGCTTCTTTAGAGTGAATCATTCATACTATCCAGGACAGAATCCAACATTACTAGACACATAAAAAGTGTTTTGTTTTTGTTTTTTAATAGGAAAATATAAAATATATACAAAAGCAAAGTAGTCAGTGGTGATGATCCCAAGATGACCCAGATGTTGGAAGGAGCAGGCAAAGATTTTAAAGCATCTACTCTATGTTAGAAGACACAAAGGAAGATATGCTTCTCATTAATAAGACAGGAAATCTCAGGAGGAAAACAGAAATTATAAAATAGAATATTCTACCCCAAAAACTCTGGACATGATTCAACTCAGAGGATCTTTATTTTCCCTCTCTCCCTCTCTCTCCCCTCACTGCCCTGTGTGTGTGTGTGCATATTTTTTAATGGCACTTCTGTGAATCTGCAGTGATATTACCCTAAGGTGCCCTTGCACACTTGGGAAACTACAGATCTATTCTTAAACATTCAAGCTGAGTTCTAAGAAATTGGTAGGAAGGGAAAAAAGAAAGAGACACATAGAGATGAAGAGAGAGAATAAAAAAAGAAAATTCAGTATCTACAGATTAAGATTTTACCAAAATAAAATATATAGTGAGGATAATACATCTATTTTTACTCTGTTTTTTATACTCCATAAAATTCATTTGAATTAAGGATTTTGGTGATCCTACCAGTCATGGGGTTAACAGGACAGGTGTTATATTCTTTTATACTAGTGGAGCAGGGAAAGGAAGTATCTTAAAATGTAGCATTAACCAAAGGAGTAAAAGATTGCTAAAAGTGAAAATCAGAGTTTAGCAGTAGGAAATGGTTAGAAATGAAGTTTGGTATTTAAAGTCTACAGTTTTCCTCCTAAAATTTTATTTTTTTTTATTTTTTTTTTTATTTTTAAATTTTTTTATTTATTTATGATAGTTACAGAGAGAGAGAGAGAGAGGCAGAGACACAGGCAGAGGGAGAAGCAGGCTCCATGCACCGGGAGCCTGATGTGGGATTCGATCCCGGGTCTCCCGGATCGCGCCCTGGGCCAAAGGCAGGCGCCAAACCGCTGCGCCACCCAGGGATCCCTTTTTTTTTTTTTTAATTTTTTTATTTATTTATGATAGTTACAGAGAGAGAGAGAGAGAGAGGCAGAGACACAGGCAGAGGGAGAAGCATCCTCCTAAAACTTTAAACAAAAAGTTTAATAGTGTTTCTCTTTTATCCTATGCTTTTTTGTTTTGTTTTGCTTTTGTTTTTGGTCACAACTGGATGGAAAAGGTAGCTATTTGATTTCTGTATATGAGTAACAATCAGGTAAAGGAAAACCAAATGTTTGCATTTTTGAATGCAAGAAGATAAAATATTGACTTAAACTGTAATTAAGCATTACAATTCTGAAATAAATATGATCCACAGAGACAATTTCTCATCTAAAAAAGTTTACCTTGCAATCAATGAGCAGTTGTGAATCATGTTCTTTTCAACAAAGATACCTTGCGATTCATCAGTTTCAACTATCCGTCCATCCTGATACCACAACACCTGCATGTCCTGATCAATATATGAAGCCATACACTGGAAGGGAAGGCTGTCTCCTTCAAACACAACTTGCCGATGAGATGGAGTCATGTAGAAAGATGGTAATTCAAGGGGTGGATCTACAGACAATAAAACAAAGACTCAGCAAATAAATACAATACACTATTCACACTCCGGAATGAAAAGTTATAGAGGGGCACCGGGTGGCTCAGTTGGTTAAGCACCTGCCTTAGGCTCAGGTCAAGATCCCAGGGTCCTGGGATAGAGCCCCGCGTCGGGCTCCCAGCTCAGTGGGGAGTCTGCTTCTCCCATTCCTTCTGCCCTTCCCCATGCCACTGGTGCTCACTTGCTCTCTCTCTCTCATTCTCAAATAAATAAAAAGCTTAAAAAAGTTATAGAAATTCTAATTAAAAAAATTTTTTAATGGAGAAACAAATTTTCTTCAGTAACCAGAATTTTAATGCTACCACCGGCAAGGCTCCTACCGAGAGATAAGTGGGTCCTAGATGAAAACAAAATTAGTAAAATTAAAATGAAACCATTTCATAATCAGTTCTGACATTTAAAGTTGTTCCTCTTTGGTGGTATCTAAGCAATTACTAAAAAAAACAAATTGTAAAATGATACTTAAATCTGGAGAATGGAACTGGTAATAAGTAAATACTGGTATATATACAATTTTAGAATACATTCAGGAGACAATATTACCCTTTGATTAAACCACTGGTTTCTGCCTATGTAAGTAATACATACTCATTGAGAAAATTCAGAACACTTAGAGACGGGGAAAGAAAAATCATTTAAGATCCAATATATTACCATCACTGTTAAAAAGCTGATTTACTTCCTTCCAGTAATACAAATAAAAGGGAAGAATCATAAATATTTATGCAAAAATGCACACAAATGCCATGGGCTCACAAAAAAAATAATAATTATATTTAGCCCATCGTCTACTGCTCATAGCAGTGATCTAACCTAAAGAATAACAGCACATATGGAAACATACACACAAGGAAATTAATCCTTGCAATTATTTATGGAGAAATTATTTAACAACCTATAGAGACATGATAACCACATCTGTATCATGGATTGGCATGCATCTATTTCATACAATGAGAAAATGAGTTTATAATATGTCAGGTTTTAAAAAGTTATGAAATATCATTAGAATATGATAACAATTTGGTCAAAACACAGGAAAAAGATGAAGAAAATACACTAAGTTATCTCAGACAACTACCTTTGAGTGATAAGAATGTAGCATGGGCTGCATGGGCAAAGCATGGGCTTTGTCTGGTTTACTTCTTTCTTTTCATTTCTTTTCTCTTCCAACCTTACTGAGGTATAATTGACAAAATTGTAAGATACTGGGACGCCTGGGTGGCTCAGTGGTTGAGCATCTGCCTTCGGCTCAGGTCGTGATCCCAGGGTCCTGGGATCGAGTCCTGCATCAAGCTCCCTGCATGGAGCCTGCTTCTCTGCCTATGTCTCTGCCTCTCTCTCTGTGCCTCTCATGAATAAATAAAACTTTTTAAAATAAAAAAAATTGTAAGATATTTTATTCTCTCCTCCCCCATTCAAAATCATAAGTTATTTCAAGTAAACATCATGATGATTTGATTTATATATATGCTGTTTCTTTTCACAAATCTTAATTTTCATCCAATTCATCTCACCTTACTTATGAAAACTACAACAATAATGATAATAAAGAGAAAATATAAACAAGTACAGAACTGCTTATTTCCAGTTATAAAGACTAAACTGAAATTTCCTTTGATCATTTTAATCACTATTTTTGGTTCATGTGGCTTTTTTTTTCTTTTTCATTTCATAAGCATATTTTATTTCCCTCTAATCTTCGGGTACTATTCAAAATTATGATTTTCAATAGCTGCATATTGAAAATAGTGTCACAAGTCATTCAATCAATCCCTCATTTTTGAGAACTGAAGATATGCCTATATTTCAAAATTAACATACAATGCTGATCATTTCCTAAGAATTAAACTCTCATGTAGAATTACTAGATCAAACTATCAACTTTGCAAGAACACTGAAACGTACTGTTAAACTCTATTTCAAAAAGGCTCTATTAATTCACACCCCTACCAACAAATAATGATTGCATCCTCAGATTTTTTTTTTTTTTACTATCAACAAATTCCTGGTTTGCCAACTGATAGAAAATCTGAAGATCTACGCTAGTCTTTGAAATTGTTTTTTGTAAAGAAAGCTGTTCAGAACCCAAGAACCTTGAAAACCAATCCAAAAAAACGTTTTATCCAAGCTGACTTAACTGTTCGCATAAACTTAAGTATATATTATCAGACCCATGAAGGTTAATGGTTGTAATCAATTCTAGCACAGATAAGTAGAATTTTACAATTGTCAAGCAAAACATCATAGCAAGTCAAATATGGCAAACACCTTCTCCCTTACCGCATGTCAACAACTCCTGCTTCACGCCCGTGACTGGCTGGGCCTGAAGAGACTTGGGATAAACACACCGCGTGTCCCGTACTGTGATGTTTCTCTCCTTCACCCAGCGATGCATCCACAATATGTTACAATCACACAAAAGATATTCAGTCTGAAATTCTCTGTAGCACACAAAACACAAATTAGTGAGTGTGGTGAATAAAATTAAGCAGCATGTTTGCTTAACATTGGCTTCTGCCTTGGGTGACAAGCACAGCACTCTCTACCCTCAGCCACCCATGGCACGCACCACCAACCGGTTCCGTTCTCCTTTCCAGGGAGAGGCCAGGCCGAATGGCTGACCCCAGCACTCCTCCCTGCTGGTCCAAGGACATGCTGCTTTAGATCAAAGGCGGTATGCAAACAAAATCTACACATCATCCCTCTTCTATGCAGCAAGTTCCTTAATCCCAGGGTCTGCAATATCAAATCTCCGTATCTTTTGTGTCTACCAAATTTCTACCCACCTGTCATAAAGCATGGTGACACTAACACTGGACCTTGAAGACTTCCCCAACTGCCCCAACATCATCGCCGTGTTCTTGCCTTAAATGCTTGCAAACTATTAATTTTGGCAACATAAAGGAATACATGACCATTTGCCACGGTTGTAGGCTATGTCTGACACTCCTCTGCTGGCACCAAGTGATACCAAGATACATACAGAGTGAAGGGGTACAGACTCAACCAACTGAAAATATAAGGATACCTCATACTTGATATGAAATAAAACACAGAATTATTTTTATACGAGGCAAGAAGTTTTATAATTTGGCACCTGGGTATAAGAAACAAAGAGAGGATAATATAGAAACAAAGAGAGGATAAAAGCACAATAACATGTTGAACACTTGGTTTTACAAAGCACTATTTATGTGCCACATAGTGTGCTAAGTCCAGCTAATAGCAATAAATACAGATACTTTCCCCTGTCAACCTGGAGGACATTATATAATAGGGGAACAAAACATAAGCATGACTAATATAGAATGTAACATGTTCTACACAAATAAAGTGCAAAGAGCAAATATAACGGGTGCTCCTAACACAGATCATGTACCAGTCCAGGCTTCATCTGATTACTTCTGGCAAGGGGAAAAGAAAAAAAAAAAAAAAAGGTGGGAGTTGGGATGAGATACACAAAGACAAAGTGAATTTAAAAAACAATACCGATGACTGGACTGGATTTCTAACTCCTAAGCACCACCTTCTGGTTGATTTCCAGCACTACTGGGTAAAAAAAAAAAAAAAAAAAAAAAAAAAAAACAATTTTTGGATAAAAATACTTCCTACTTTCTTGCTACCCAGGGTCTCAAAAGTCAGATTATTTTTTGCAGTCATTTTTATTTTCTTAAGTTCACATAAATGGCTGGCTTGAGCCCACTAAATATGCCAAAAAGAGATATTTTCACTAAAAAACAGTAACAGCAACAAAAAGACCAGAGTCCCATCTAACATGCCTCCAGAAGGGGATACATGGGTCTGCCATGATGGTGAGGAGCCAGATGACCACCCAAGTATTAGCTACATCCCAATGAAAACTGCTAAGCGGTCAGTCTAGAAAATTCAAGGAGAAGAGCAGAGAAGGGGAGGGGAGAGGAAGGGATGGTAAGAAAATCAGCAAACACCAAACAGCATCTGCTTTAGAAGACGACATTTTTCCTTGGAAAAACAGTCAACCCCATAAATTATACACAATAAAAATTTTGAAAAGCATTATATTTAGCTGTATTTCCAATAGAAATTAGTATAACTTACAGGTTGAATACATTATGTTTAGCTGGAAATACCATGACTGTCAAAAGGAACCCCCCTACTATCTCAGTTAACAAAACGATTCTGGGAGAAGAAAAAAAGTCCGCCAATTCTAAAGCTACAAAGAACTGCATCCATACGATCTTGCACTGATTTCATAAAGCAACCATTCTACGTAAACATTCTTGGCAATGTCAGTGATATGCTGTGAATTCAGTTTAGGGGAAGGGTAACAGGACAAAGGTAAATCCCAGAAGTATAAAATATTCTTAACTATAGACTCTATAGGGTCAGATATTTTATACTTTGAGGATTCAAGTAGTCAAACAGCAAAATATTTTCTAACTTGAAAATAAAATGAAAAAGGAAGAATCACCAATTTATTTACTCTAAATATAGGGAGATATGGTTTTCTATGGAGAAAATGGTTGTCTCAGTGTGAAACACTTTATTCAGGTTTACAGTATGTTTTTCAATGAGAATGCATGCACTCAAGTGAGAGTCTAACTTTTTTGCAAAATCACCAGACTTTCTCCATGAAGTCTCTTAAATCATTTAATAACTGTTTTTAATTATTAAAAACCAAGATACAGTTACCAAAACCAGAAAAAAATTTCTTACTTACAAAGACCGTAATGAGCCAAGATAATCAAAAGTTCCTTGAGATAATGAAGAAAACAAATTCCCTGAAAGGTTTCTAGAAAAAAAAAAAAAAAGAAAGAAAGAAAGAAAGGAAATTATTTCATTTAAAAAATACTAACAATTACATGTCATTTTATTTTTTTAAATGTAAATTTTTTTTGATTTTTATTTATTTATGATAGTCACGGGGGGGGGGGGGCAGAGACATAGGCAGAGGGAGAAGCAGGCTCCATGCACCGGGGGCCCGACGTGGGATTCGATCCCGGGTCTCCAGGATCGCGCCCCGGGCCAAAGGCAGGCACCAAACCGCTGCACCACCCAGGGATCCCTACATGTCATTTTATACAATTTCCTAAAGTGTCCTATAATGTTATGAAGAGTTCATAAAAGTTGTTTTAAATCTAATAAAAAGGGAGTATTTTATCCAAGGATGAAGAAATTTGTTCTCAATGTATAAAAAGTATAAAATTATTTTAAAGCTAGTACTATCAGATAAGGATTTTCTACCAAAGACCAGGTGAATTAACCCGAAAGCTACCTTATTAAGTTGGAACTTCAGCCACGCTCTCGTTACTAGTAATGATTACTCTTCATGTGTTAACTTAGCATCATTTAAGAAGGCAGAAATTTGAAAACAAGAAACAGGCAAGGATAACCTGAATGATCATCAGCAGCAACCCACAGGAACTGAATAAAATATGTCAACAGAGCACAACGAGCCCAGGGTTTAAAACTGATGTAATTCAATGTTGGACTTGGGCAAATTACTTAACCTATCTGATTGTTTCCTTTTATCAGATGACTTTAGGAAATATCTAGACCCTTGCAGAGTTTTCTATGAATCAAACCCAGAATGCCCATGCTACAATTCGAGTGGTGTGTTACACCCATAATGATTCCACATTTGACCACAAGCTCCAGGAGCAGAGGGACTTGGGGGTCTTATCTACTGGGGTGCCCCTGACAGCTGGTGGCAGCTGGGGTACACAGTAGGTGCTCAGTAGTGGCGGCTGACTATTCAGGATGTACACTCCATCTTCCGGAAGCTTCTAACATTAAAATAGGACTGAGGGCTCTGAGAAAATGACAGGATGGTCTAACCACCACAGGCTCGGTTCTGTGCCTGTTGCAGGATCAAGGATAGATACGATTTAAACCCAGAATTCTCAAGGAAGAGGTCTTGAGACCTGGGAAGAGGCCTGCCTCTCCTCTGGAGTCTTAGTGAATCCCTCCCGTGTGGTAGAAAGGGACAATCAGATAGAGGAACTCCCGAGTGGGGACAGAGTTGATCTGGAAAAGGTCAGCTATCCCTGTGAATTCTGCAACAGTGTATTCCCCGATGGGAAACCTAATGTGACACAAATGCCAATCCCTCACAAATTAACATGCAATGAAATTCAGTAAAAACAACCCTGGATTGGCTTTTAAATATAGCGTACAAATTTTTGATAGGAAAAGCTGGATAAAAGGACTCTGATCTTCATAGGAGAACTGCCTAGGAACTTAAGTAAACAAAGGATATTTGTCAATTAAAAGAACAGTAAAAGAGATGCCCTTCTCTTTTTGGGGGCTTATCAGTGGGGATAGTGAATGTAGATTTTGAAGAGGTTATTGCTGATGGAAGCGTGACTCACCCTTGTGTTTTTAAAAAGTAACCTAGATGCAATTAAAACAACGGTACTTCCATGAAGCTATCCTATGTGGAATTATAGGATTACTCGGATCTGTTTTAAACAATATAAGCAGGGGGACTCCTGGGGGGCTCAGGAGTTGAGTGTCGCCTTCAACTCAGGTCGTGATCCCAGGTCCTGGGATCGAGATCCGTATCGGGCTCCCCACGGGGAGCCTGCTTCTCCCTCTGCCTGTGTTTCTCATTAAAAATAAAATCTTAAAAAAATAAATAAAATAATCAGGAAGACAAAAAGATGGGAGATAGAATTAAAACAAGGTTGGCAATGAAGTTCCTAAAGTGATGAAACTGGGGAATGGGCACATGAAGATTCCTTATACGACTGTCTCTAATTTTTTTTTTCACAAGTTTGAAAGATTCCATAACAGTAAGTTGGAAATGAAACTCTTATTATACAAATATAGGATTTAAGGATAAACAAAATAATGGCATCTTACAGGGATCATTAGATTCTAATTATTATGCTATTTTAATTATTAGATATAATTAGCTATTTCCTTATAAAACCACAGAGGAAGGAATTACACTGGAGACATGCCATCGTCCCAGTAAATCCCCACATAAACCAATTTTTCCTCCAGTGTTGGAATAGACTGGCTGAACACCAAACAGAGTAACTAGTTTTGGTTTGGGGACCATAAAAAGTTACACACATTTTAAAATACTAGAATCACACTGCAGCTCTGAGATAATACACAAAGCAAAAGGGAACAGAGGATGGCAAGTGCACAGCAAAGTCACTGCTCCCAAGTCCTATCAGCTCACTGAATGGAACAGCAGATCAGTTATCCAGCCATCCCCACTCCACCCTTTTACCCTGTTCTCTTCATACCTTAATTTTGCTTTATTTACTTACTTTTTGCTAAACAAATACATTTGAATTCCTGTAATTTTTTTAAAGATTTTATTTATTTATTTATTTATTTATTTATTTATTTATTTATTTATTTATTTATTTATTTATTTATTTATTTATTTATTAGAGAGAGAGAGAGAGAGAGAGAGGCAGAGACACAGGCAGAGGGAGAAGCAGGCTCCATGCAGGGAGCCCGATGTGGGACTCGATCCCAGGTCTCCAGGATCACGCCCTGGGCTGAAGGTGGCGCTAAACTGCTGAGCCACCGCGGCTGCCCTGAATTCTTATAAATTAAACATGTAGGACGCATCACCTATGACCATACAGGGAAGTTTACCAGGGCCAATCTGCTAAAGGAGGGGAAAATGCAATCAAATAGAGTCTCCCTCAACAGAAGAATAAAGAACTAAATTATAATCAGCTCTGTACTCGGAATCTTCCGGAAGTATTAACAAACATGAACTGTATCAACAGGTACTCTCTTGCAAAGATATTAATGATATGCTGGCAATTTTTTAAGTGAATTGCTGAGTACAGCACACATGTACAGCCCTGTATGTATGCCTGTACCTTTGTGGGAGCAACACAACAAATACACCTGAAAGACACTGAAAATAATACACCAGATAGTACAGGCTTAGCTCACGGTGGGATGTCTGAAGGGATGGAAGGGGGGTTAACTTTTCCTTCAAATCTCTATGTGGTTTTATGACTTAATGACATCAGTAATTGTTCATTTGTATAAAGGAAGTTCTTATAAATATCACTCACTATATTTTTTTTAACTTTCTAAGAGAGAGAGAGAAAGAGTGCGTGAGAGAGCGCACAAGCAGGGGGAGGGGCAAGGGGAGAGGAAGAAGGGGGAGGAGCTCCATCCTAGGACCCCGGGGTCATGACCTGAGCCAGAGGCAGATGCTTAACCCATTGAGCCACCAGACGCCCCTACTCACCAATTATTTCTGCTAGAAGAATACTAAAGGTATAATTCTTGGAAAAATAATACAAGATTTAAATTGATCAAAATTCATTAAAAATGGGGGAAAAAAAAAGAAAGCTTTTGATCTGTTGATCTCCTGACAACTTCTCTGCAAATTCACTTCTTCGGTGAGGGCAGAGAGCACAAAAGTTCACTTTCAGCTCCTCATCTTTGGTTCGCCAGTTATTTTCACGGGTGAGAGAGAGATGGAGTGGGAATCTCTGGGAGGATGTCTTCACTTCTCCAACAGTTCTCCATCAACAAAGGCAGAGATCCATGTACAGGAATAATCAACTAAACCTCCCACATCCATGTCTACTGAAGCCTCAGACATATTTAAAGTTATTTTTGAATTCTTAACCTAAACCTCCAAAGCCACAACTGGTTTCAAAATGATGAGAAGCATGGATGAGAAGGCCACTGTCTGTCTGCCAAGGTTTCTTCCAGGCTCTGGGGGCCTCTACTCCCACCTCCTTGGCTAAGAGGCCCCACCAGTCCTAAATCCCAGGCAACCCAGAGAATCCAGCTGAAGAATCAGTAAAGGAAATATCTATAAATTTATAAAGAGTGATTCACTCTGGATTCCCTCTTTCTATATGCCTGTTCAGCTTCTGAGGTAAGAGGCCAAAAAAAAAAAAAAAAGGTAAGGAAATTGTAACTGACCCTAAAAGTAAAGACTATCCCTTCCAGCTCTTCCCTAAAGAATATTTGCTGATGGGTCAAGAATCCCTGGGCCACGTTATAAATGCATCTGGAACTAAAGTCGACAAAACAGTAAACTGCAGACGCTTTCATAACTTGAGTCACAGCTATCCAAAAATATAACAGTTTTCCTTCATAAATGCCCCATTTTGCCGATTCTTATGCAGTCCTCAAAACCAAAAATACAAAACTCTCAAGAAGAGTTAACAAAAGCACTGAAATAAAATTGCTGCAGTCTAGCCACAAAAAAATAAAAATGCAGTTGGTTTAATAAATCTCAAGTTATGAGCAAAGCTGTACACCAAATCAACCTTGTATTTAAACACGGAAGTTTGGCCCTATCTCTCTCTCCTCCCAACTCAAAGCGCTCACTGAAAAATACTACAAGTCCACTAAGAACCAGGAGTACTCTGTGGTATTCTAACAAGTGATCCGACGTCCCCTCCCCTACTGCAGACATGAAATAATCTCACTATTGAAGTCCCTAAGAGCTTTTTCAAAGTCAACATGAATGAAGTTACAGAAACATTCTGAAAAGCCACAGAGAGAAAGAACCAGGCAGAGACCATCCGTATTACTACGCTCTCTACCCTAAATCCCAAATTTGATCTTACACCCTATTCCCAGACAACTCTTCTCTAAAACAGGATTTTATGCCACTTCCCCAGCATAAATGCCCTTCAGGGGCTTCGTGTCGTTAAATCAGTTTGAAGCCTCATATAAAGTTCTATCATAGATAATCAGCCTGATTTCTAGTTACTCCCAACAGGGCCTCTTCATTTTAAAAAGAAAATAAGAATGTACTCAATGGCTTATACAACGTTCTCCTGTATTTATAACATATGTAAATTATGAGAGAGAGATACAGATAGATCAAATTTTAATTAATCTTTATAACATGGAGGGGGGAATCCCTGGGTGGCTCAGCGGTTAAGCATCTGCCTTCAGCCCAGGGTGTGATCCTGGAGACCTGGGATCGAGTCCCACATCGGGCTCCCTGCGTGGAGCCTGCTTCTCCCTCTGCCTGTGTCTCTGCCTCTCTCTCTGTGTCTCTCATGAATAAATAAATAAAATCCTAAAAAAAAAAAAAAAAAAAAAAAAAAAAAACCTTTATAATAACTTTGAGGTACTCTTCACCTACTTTAACGGATGGGGAAAAAAAAAAAAAAAAAACAGAAAATCTCAGAAAAGTGAGTTCACCCTAAATCACAAAGTCAGAGGCATGATTCCAATGGCCATTGTACTCTTCACACCAACGGCTTTCCCCTTGACGCCGGCGTTGTTCTTCCTTCCACCTTCTTGCATCATTTGCTCTGCTTCTTCTTCCTTCTAACCAACCAAATCTCGGCCATCTCTGGACCATCGGGTCAAATTTTACCTCTTTCTGGACCTTTATCCAGGCTAGCAATGCTTCCGACCATCTCTCTCAACAGGACCATGTCCTCTGAGGCATCTACCACCTGGGGCGGCTGTGCGTGCGCACGTACGTACGTGATGCTCTGCTGGCACTACACCCCAGGACTGAATTTCCAGCTCCTCGTCTCCTCCTCCTCCTGTAATCCTGACAGCTGCTACTTTACTAACATGTCATAGGTGCCTCTAAATACCTGGGTACTAGCTCACACGCTTTCTTGCATCTTAAATGGAAGAGAAAGGTGTACTTACAGCCTGACCAGGTTGGTGAGTCCTCGAAATATGTCTGCATTCAGACATCCTATTCGATTGTTTGTCAGATCCCTGAGGAGAAAGGGGAAAGGAACGTCTTCAGTTAGTTCTCCGGGTTGAGGAAGGTTTCATACATTCCATATTCAAGGATATTCAAGAACAGCACCCAGGGGTCACACGAGACCTTTCTTTTCAGCATCGCCGAGAAGTTGACTTGCCTCGGGTGAGTTAAGGGGAGCCGTGAGAGGAAAAGCGGTCCTTGCTTTCACCTCTCCTGGCGCACGGACCGCACGCTGTCTAGTTAGAGGGCCCTCCATAGTCCACGCATTTACTCCTGTGAAATGAGCCCTGATACAACTGGAGTAGTAAAAATGAGACCGGATCTATCTGACTGTGACACAATCCCTCAGATGACCTACGCCGTTCTTCATGCTGGGGAAGGTTGGGACACAGCCCGGTCCCAGTAAACACCTGACAGACAACTGATGAAGGGGCAAATTACCAAAATGCCGGAACTTTTATTTCCTCAAGAATACCTGAAACTTCACGCTCTCTGACGTCATTCTTTAAATAGTCACAAGTTTTGACTATAATGAGAAAACTGAGTTTGCTTTTACCTCACAGATCTATCACCTAATCTCCAAGCCAAACGACTTCAGCATTATCTAGGTAATGGCCTAGTTATTTTTTTTTCCCATTTGGTAATGGCCTAGTTATTATTTTTTTTTTAACATCACTCTTAACTTCTTTTTCATTTTAAAGATGGATCCCTGTATTTCAGAGAGCGAGAGAAAGAGAGGGAGAGAGAGTGGGGAAGAGGGGGACGGGGAGAGAGAGAATCCCAAGCCAACTAACTCCCTGCTGAGCGTGGAGCATGAGGAGGGGCTTGATCCCATGACCCTGAGATCATGACCTGAGCCAAAATCAAGAGTCTGGACACCTAACGGAATGAGTCACCCAGGCACCTCACTCTTTTTTTTTTTTTTTTTTAAGATTCTATTTATTTGAGAGAGAGAGCACAAGGCGAGGGAAGGGTAGAGGGAGAGAGGGAGAAGCAGACTTCTCGCTGAAGGTGGAGCCCCACACGGGGCTCGATCCCAGGACCCTGGGATCATGATCTGAGCCAAAGTCAGATGCTTAACCAACAGAGCTACCCAGGTGTCCCATCCCACTCTTAACTTCTTATAGTTCCTATCAAATCTTACTTTCTAAATATTTTTTTTCTCCTCAATCCGTGAAACTTCTTTTTATCTACATGTTTAGTAGATACTGTGTCCTTTCTGCACTATTTTTCTCCACACCACAGTGAACACAATTTTACATTTTAATCAGGAGATTACAGTTCAAATGGGTGATGATAAATGACAATTTCTGTAACCTTCAAGTAAGACAGCATGGTGTTCAGCACTTTTGTCCATCACTCGTCTTATTAAACTGTATGCAAGAAAACCCTCAAATGACAAATCTTAATTTTTATCAGTTCCTACTGAAGAATCACCCCTTAGAATTACAAGATTCTAAACCAAACTTCCAGTGATATTTTTATCATCTTCTCTTCGATGTCCATATTATTAAGTGGAAAAGCAGCTATTCTTTGAGTCACACTCTGACCTACTCTCTACAAAAGTAAATTTGCACGACCCATTTCTGAACTAAAACTCTTGGAGTCTAAGTTGTAGAACTTGGTAACAGCAGAAACTGTGTATCAGCCAGACTAGAAATCAGAAATGATAAGGATACGGCATCTGAATCAGTTACCTACACTATAGATTCTCCCCTAGATATTCCAAAACCAGCTTAGGTAATCCCGAGCTCCCTAATATCACAGCTCTGTCTTTCCTATCTTATGACAACTTTTGATTTAAAAAAAAAAAAAAAAAAAAACTTAACCAAAACAAAACTTTCTCTGTGCCTCCTGTGCTCTACCTCCTGTTCCTCAGGATATTAAAGTGAAGTATTTAATACTGTGGGAGTTGTTTTTTGGTTTTTTTGGTTTTTAATCCCAGCTGATTTTTCTTTTATTTCTGGGTTTTACTGTTTAAGAAAATTAGGCATCATTTTGTGAATTGCTGCTTAAGCATTTCTGGGCTCTATTCATTATCTTGTCTCACTTCTGAGCTTTCACTGGTGTAATTACCACTGATTCTTTGGGAAACAATTTCATTATAGCTATACCTATTTAAAGTGGTATTTAGGTATTGATAATGGGTTTTCACTGAGATTGAGAATCAGCTTGAATTTGTTGATAAAGCAAAAGAGAAACTGAATGGGTCTAGGTGTTACCTACTTTGGGTAGTTTATCCTTCAGAAAGCCACTTAAATCTTCCTGATTCAAATTATCTATAAAATAAAGGCAAAGGCATGGTACACTTACAAAAATGCTTTATGTGTGGCTGTCGAGTGAGAGACACAATCGAAATGAGTGATGGAGAGCCTCCTACGAAAAAGCGCCTGTATCCATAAGCAACCAGCAAACATTACTACTGCAGAGTATCTTCGTATCTCATTGAGTTTACCTATAGGACTCTCAGCTTGCAAGTCGTACACCGTAAGTTCCATTACGAGTCAGCTGTTTGAAATTAAGGATGTATTTTCTAGTGGGGAGAATATTATAAATGGCAATTACCTTCCTAGGCAAGAACACAAGAGACTACTTAATGTGAAATGCAATGAAAAAAAAAAAATGCTCAGGCAATGCCTGGGATGATACCAGTAATTAAATGCTACTGAACAGGAAATTTATTTATTTATTTTGGATGGAAGTACTTGAGAAATTATTTACTGAAGGAGAAAGAACCGGATAGAGAAGCTAAGATAGTCTGTATTATCCTTACAACATCCTGATGAAACTGCTTTTTGTGAACAGTCAAGTTCTCTTCGACCTGTATCTTAACATGAAGGTATTATTAGCATTTATCTTCCTGACAAGGGCTTTCCTCCCCCAAAACGCTGGGAATAAAGTGGAGCCAATCGCAAAGAGGGAGACTAAATTGTCTGTCTCATCTGGCAATATGATGTCACAGGCCTCACACAGGAGGGTGGGGGGGCGGGGAAGAAGCTGGAGGGAAAGATATTCCAGAAGTTCCCAAACTTTAGCATCAGAATTGCCAGGAGGGACAAATCAAACATAGAAGGTTCAGCCTCAGCCCCAATTTCTGATAGGGCGGGTCTCCCACCAGCACTCCAGCCTCGACTTGAACGCTCCTATTGCTACACCTGCACTCACAGTGACCCCTCCACCTGCACTCACAGTGACCATGTGCACCTCCAAGAAGCACCAAGAAAGTGACTCACCGTTGGAAACCAAGCCTATGAAGCGCTGCTCCTCCTCTCACCTACAGCTGTTTAGAGGTGCACGCAGCCCACACCCTCGCCTGGGTCAGAAGGCTGAGTCCCAGCAGCTCTCAGCAGCTACGTCTAGCTGACCTCCACCAGTGGATTCCACGTCCACACCCAGGCTCCTGGTTGGTGCATATGATTCCACTAGACTGCCAACCCCTCGAGGGGCTGAGTGACCCCCAGGTCTCTGGAGCCGGGTGCACTGTCGGGCACCCGAAGTAGACTCAATTTTTATGCAACGGAACCGACACTGATCTCTCTCATCACCTGATTCCACCGCTGTCCCTACTTACTACACTGGGCTCCAAACCTAACTGTACCCCGGAGCCGAACTCTGGCGCCCACGTGATGCTCGCTCCTCTCCGATACTTGCCTGCTCGATCCAGAACCCCAGTCTCTCTTAACACCACTGACCTGCTCCCGATGGGCCCGTTTTCCTGACTTGCCTCATGAAAGAGCCCTAACTGGAAAATAATGGAGAGCAGAGGGCACGGGGAAGAGAAGGGATCAAGGGCAAGACCTCCTCTGGACATCCCTGGGCGTTCTGAGCGCACAGAAGTCTGATAAAGACAATGAGCCACCATCCAGCCCCCACAACAACCACCACGGTGAGAACACTCCCTCCTACAGGGTCGGGATGAAATTTCAAACAATTGTACCCAAAGAAGAGAGAATCATTTAGCTCCTACTACACCTCATCTTCCAGGATTCTGAACACTAACACTGAGGGACTGAGAGCTTCAGAGCATACCTTTTATTTATTTATTATCTATTTATTTTCTTTTTTATTTTTTAAAAGATTTTACTTACTTATTTACTTACTTGAGAGAGAGAAAGAGAGAGGGAGACAGCACACAAGTGGGGAGGAGAGGGAGAAGCAGGCTCCCCATTGAGTAGGGAGCTTGACATGGGGCTCGATCCCAGGACCTGAGTTAAAGGCAAACATTAAACCGACTGAGCTGCCCAGGTACCCCAGAGGATACCTTTTAGATGAAAGAAAAATTTATTTGCAAAAGCAATTCTTAAAAAAAATCTGTGAAAACAGCATGGCCAACTCTTACAGCTGGATCTGGCTGTAAAAAGAAAAGAGTTTTGAATGAGACAATAAGGGATACATAGAAAACGTCAAAAGCATTAGGAGGGAAGGTTCCTGTCAGCATTTAAGTAGGTCCTGGCAGGATTCAGCTCAGAGCAAACAGCCAATTTTATTATCAAATAATATGGGAAACGAAGACATTAAAAAAAAAAAAATACCCACACACCCTCAATATAGTATAAACATCAGATAACAAGAGAGCATGAGAGGGGCACCTGGCTGGCTCAGTCAGTAGAGCATGTGACTCTTGATCTCAGGGTTGTGAGTTCAAGGCCCATGTTGGTACAGAGATTGCTTAAAAATAAAATCTTAAAATAAGTGAGCAAAACAGAACCAAAAAAGAGGGGTGTGGGGGAGACATGGACAGAGGAAAGGATGATTGTTAAGAAGAATGAAAGCATCGTGTCATCCCCAACATCCTTTGTCCCCAGATCTCTGCACTTATGTGGTTTCTCCTTCCTGCCAACAGAAACATTCTGAACCACGGCCCTGCTGGCTCCACACTGTCTAAGATTCAAAGATCTTTGACACGGCAGGTCCTCTTAGGCCTACAAGTCTAATGTCTCCATGACCAGCCTAACCTCCAAAACCCATTGCCCCACTTTGTACTTTAGGCTCTGGCACCTCACCTAAGAACACCTGCTTTCTTATTCTTCGGCATGTACTATTCATGCTTCAGGAGCAAGGTCGAACCTGCAGGTCTGCTCCCAAGACAGGGCATTCCCTCCCAGGTGGCCCCTCCTTTCCTTGGCAGGTTATTACTATTACCTTATCTGTGACAGCTCACATGTGCATGTGTTAGGGGGTATTTTCATTATCTAGTTGCCCCCAAGAGCCTGTGAGCACTTCCCAAGAAGTCAGACCTTAATAATAATAAATGTCTGATGAAGGAATAAGGGATCGTGGGAGAGTGCACAGGGCTTGTGTGTAGGGTTACCTCTCAAATGTGAGCATGCTCACATAGGAGGTGCAAAAACAGCATAGTAAGGAGGCAAGGGGAGTTGTTTTGCCTCAGAAGCAATAAAAATTGCTCTGTAAGTTTTGAAATAATAATATAGATAAAATATACATGCAGATAGCAAGACTTTAAATCACTGACAAAAAGGGGCCTCAACTGACATGCATATACAATAGAGTTTGAAAGAATTCATAACTTAAAAATCCTCTATATATCACGTTATGATCACTGACAAAGCTAATACAGTAATCCCTTTATTAGCATGAGAAGGACACAACCATCTAAGATCAAACAAGTCAAATTATCGCACAAACTAACCACTTTCTATGCTACTACTACTTTTTTTTTTTTTTAATCGCTGACCTGGCCAATAAACTGAAACTTGTTAAAACACCTTTCTTTTTTTTTTTTTTTTTAATCACGTTAAAGCTTGAAGTAGGTTAACAGTTCCTTACAAAGGAACAGTTCAGGGGAGGCTGGGGTGGTTCAGTCGCTCAAGCATCTGATTACTGATTTTGGCTCAGATCATGAGACTCTTGATTTCAGCTCAGGTCATGATATCAAGGTCGACGGTTCAAGTCCTGCATCATGAGTTGTGTGCAGTCTGCTTGCCCCTCTCCCTCTGCTCCTGCCCCTGCTCGTGAGTGCCCTCTCTTACACACACAATCTAGCTATAAAATAAATAAAATCTTAAAAAAAAAAAGAAAAAGAAAAGAAAAGTTCAAACTTATAAGCAAGAAATTCAAATACTTACAATCGTTTTAGCGATGACAGTCCCCAAAAGGCACCTGGGTCTATACTACTAATAAGATTATTTCGGAGGTCCCTGTTAAAAACAGAATAAAAGTTACTCACTTATCAGCACTATGGTAAATATTTAGGCAAACCACACTTACCTGCTATACAGAAAAGAACACTAATAGGAGGAAATTAATGCCAAAAAAGGTTAACCCCAGTTATAAGTGGCAGAGCCAGAATTCAAATTCAAGAAATCTGGTTCCAAAGCCACTGGTTTTGGTCAATATGATAAAGGCATATGTCAAAAAAGATATGTATGTCCCTATACTATTCAAATTCAGTTATGGCTCAATCCTATACATAATTTCTACAATTTCCTCTTTAGTATGCTACACTTGAGCCATCAAAATAAATCAGGTTATATATGTGAATGTAATTAGAGTGAATTTTTAAAAACCATCCTCAAAAATATACACTCTAAAATTCATGTCATTTAGCTTTTCATGTTTTTCCCTCCCTGAGCTTCTACGGTTAGGATTCCTATAAAAAGTGCGATGATTTACAACGTATCTCTCAAGGCAAAGATCCACCAGCCCCCAGGGCGATGGCATCTGATGACAGGCTCAATTTACTCTCTGCAGCATGCAGCCCTGTCACCAGGGGCCAGAGGTGAGCACCACAGCCGCATCCCTCCACCAGTGAGGATCCAGGCCACCTGCTAAGGCTGCTGTTCTTCAACGGGGACCTGGGCCCAGCTGGGGACTCAAGTGGCCGCATACAGATGTTCACACAGACCACAAAGATGGCAGAGAGTCAATTACAGGAGCACTGAGAAGCAGAAGAGTGGCCCACAGACCCTGGTCACAGTCCTGCTGGGGGCTGGTCCATACTTCAGCATCAGACCCTGAGCCAGACTCACTCACCTTGACCCACTGAAGTCACGAATGATTTCCATTCATGTCTCAGGGCACCTGATGTCAAACTATGAGCAGAAATTCTTTGCAACTTCTCTTGTCCTTCCCTTCTCCCTTCTTTACCTAACAATGGCCACACTGCCCCTTCCACGAGTGACATCTCGTTATCCAGAGTGATGCACACAGAGCAACGCCCATGACAAACCACCTCACGGGATCCTTTAGGTATGGCGCTCCATCAACCTCCATCCAGATTTTTCAGACACTGTTGTTTCAGTAACTTGACCAGATTACATGATCCTGGGCCAACTAAACCTAGGGCCTGGGCTAGTGGGGGAAGAGACAGATTGAGACAGGGAATGGTCGTTTCCATGGGTTTAATTAAAGGTCAAGAGGTCACCCCAGAGCCCTTCTGCTACCATGATTTAGAAGCCTGTCTAGGGGGCACCTGGCTGGCTCAGTCAGTAAAGCAGGTAACTCTTGACCTCACGGTCATGGGTTTTAAGCCCCATGTTGGCTGCAGAACTTACTTACTTACTAACTAACTAACTAACTAACTAACTAACTAAATAAATAAATAAATAAATAAATAAGAGCCAGTCTAATGAAGCCAAAAGACAGGAAAAGAGAATTAATGCTGAGCCCCTGGACCCAGCCAAGCCTGAAGTCTAGCTCTAACTCTCTGGGCTCCTCTGTTACACCATCACTAATTCCAGCGAGTTGTGTCTGTCCCCTACTGTCCCTTGAAGATCTCACAATCAATCTTAAGGGATGGGACTCCTCCTGCAGATAAAGAAACTCACGTGCAAAAAAGATTATAAAATTAGGCCAAGTTCTGAATGGCCAAACCACAGTTCAGGATTTAAACACATCTTTCTGACTGAAACAGCAGAGATTTACTAACAGAATTTACACCTAGAGCAAGGAGGAGACAGATAAAGCAAACAAGCCAAGAAGTTGGCCACGGTTATACTAAGGTTCTAGAGAGATCGTCTTTCAAAGTCTCTGCATGTTTGATAAATATCATTAAGTCAGAAAAAGTTATTTTACGTGGGACTGTCCGGTCTTCCAACTTTGGGCAAAAGCCATCTACCTCTGCCTCTTCCTCACCATCATCACCCACACACAGTGCTTGCTGGTGTCCTTGCTTCCTTCATCCTCTCTCTCTATTCATTTATTTCCATTCTCCATTTAAAGTGATCTTTCTGGGGCACCTGGGTGGCTCATTCGTTTAAGCATCTGCCTTTGGCTCAGGTCTTGATCCTAGGGTCCTGGGATCGAGCCCCATGTTGGGCTCCCTTGCGCCTCAGAGTCTGCTTCTCCCTCTGATCTTCCCCCGTTTGTGCTCTAGCTTGGACTTTCTCTCTTCAATTAATAAATAAAAAATCTTAAAAAAAATAAAGTGATCTTCCTAAGCATATATCTGAACATGTCTCGGTGCTGGTTAAAACCTCCAAAAGCTCCAGTTCCCTCAGAACGAAGCACAAACTCTAAGGTAACTTACAAGCCCCCCATGGCCTGGCCCTCTAGCCTACCCTAACTCTGACTTCCTATTCTGCTCCACACCTTTCTTTAACGCTCATCCAGCCTTTCTCTCTTCATACTATGAGTCCTATTTCAAGATGTTTCTAGAAAGAGTCCTAGGTCTCTCACCTCCAGACGCTGGCACATGGTTGCTCCATCCTTGACACACCCAATCTTCCCCAGCATCTATCCTCACTTCCATCCTGGTGTTCTTGCCTAACTCCTATTTATCCCTTATGTCTTGAACAGCATTCCATTTTCCAAAAAAAAAAAAAAAAAAAAAAATATATATATATATATATATATATCTGAACAACAGGGCCCTGTACTTTCCTTGCTATAACCCTTGTCACTCACTACTGCTGTTTAAAACATCTTCACTGACAGATGGGCAGGGTCCACATCCATCTATTCAGTGTGAGAGACAGACACACAATACAGAATGTGGATGGATATTGCTATAATCTGGATGTTTGTATCCTCCCCCCCAAAAAAAATGTTTTTAAGATTTTATTTATTTATTTATGAGAGACACACACAGAGAGAGAGAGAGAGAGAGAGGCAGAGACACAGGCAGAGGGAGAAGCAGGCTCCATGCAGGGAGCCCGATGTGGGACTCGATCCCAGGACTCTAGGATCACAACCTGGGCTGAAGGCAGGTGCTAAACTGCTGAGCCACCCAGGGACCCCGTATCCTCCCAAAATTTATACAGAAATCCTGAGTCCCAAAGTGATGGGACTAGGAGGTGGGGCCTTTGAGGGGTGCTTAGGTCATGAGAGCGGAGACGTAATGAATGAGGCTGACGCCCTGTAAAGGAGACCCCAGAGCCTCCTCGTGCCCCTCCACCACGTGAGGTTACAGCCAACTAAACACCGATCTCTCACTGAACAATGACTCTGCTGGCACCTTGATCTTGCACTTCCCAGCCTCGAACCCTAAATGTTTGTTGAAAGATAAATGTCTGTTGTTTGCAAGCTACCCTGTTTATGGTATTTCGTGATATCAGCCAGAGTGGATGAAGACAGATGACAAATGGATAAAAAAAGTAAACCATGGCTAAGAGATAGAATTACGTTATTTGACCTTCACTACAAAAATCTTTTTGGTAAATTACAGTTAGCTACAAAATCATTACGATATTCATAAACTCAGGCATCACAGAGGCGGCTGCATCTCATTCATAACCACTTACATTTCTTAATAAAGAAATGCAGAGGGTCATGATGCCTGCAATTGACCTTCAAGTAATTCAGCAAGTGTGTTTATGTGTTGGCATGTTCCAGTATAAAGAGAAAAAAAAAAAAAAGACAGCAAATCATTACTAATTATTCTATCTGGGTAAGTAAATTGGTGATATAGGAGATTATTACAATATTCTTTAAGTTTGTCTGTATGTTTAAAAATTTTCATAATAAAAAGTCTTTCTTGTCCCCAGTTTTTATTTTTATTTTTTAAATTTATTTTTTTATCCCCAGCTTTTTACGGTCTAAGGAAGTATAATAAACCATGGGGCCTGACCTAAAATAGTCCCTATCTCCCCCTGGCCCAACTGACCCCAATCCTACACCTCAAAGAGAAATGATATTTTGGGAAAACATTCACTCGGCATATTCTTGATGTGTACTGGATAAGCAAAAAAGCTCTGAGAACAGAAATATATGTCAGTTTCATTTTTTTGAAACATATGTTTCCCTTTTCAGATTTTAACTGCATCTACAACAAGAACTGATTTAGCTAAAGCAGTACATAAATTTGTGGCTGATGATGTACTGCATGTGTTTCTACATTATACTCCTCATGAATAACTGAGCACTGTAATATGATTTAAAGATACACTTTTCCTTTAATAATAAAAACTCCTTGACATATTATATAATACTTAGTAATAGCCATATTAATCAGGTATTGCCAAAAGATATTTATAGTCAGATTTGTTCATTTAACATCTCCCCCTTCCCTTCCCCAGTCACGGCTTCCCTAGGGAACAGGAGTCTGACTTCAGGGTCTATCGCTAAGTCTAAATATGTTGGATCATTAAAACAAAAATGAAAAAGGGCAGAAGGACTGCGGAAACAAAATTAAAGAGTATGTTAATAGTTCTTGGAAAAAGAACAAGCTCCTTTAGAAAAGAACGCCAAGTGTATCAGAAGAGACGCTTTTCAAGGATCAGAAACTTCTACTCAAAAAGGCTTCGACGATAAAGGAAATTCTCTGGCATTAAGGGAAATCGAGACGGACGGCAGCCTAAGGTGGTTGGCGTCGACCATCTCTCAGGGCTGCCCTTCTCAGAATGTCACCTTGGCCTTCAGGATGACCCTTAACTGTGATGGGATACGCCAAGGCCCACAGATCACCTCCAAGCACAGAGTCATGACTTGTGGAGTGGATTTCTTCTTCCTGTAATTCCTTAGGGGCCAGGAAATCTTTCTCGAAGCCCCACAACTAAATACTCCCTCATCACTCTGAGTGGCTCTGACAATAGGTAGACCCATCATTTGGGATGAAATAGAAGCTGGGGAGTCCAACACATTGCCTGGTATGACATTTTAATGTCGGTAATTAGATTATACAGGAGTGTCACCAAATACTGACAAATCATGCCGAGAATCACAATACTCTAGGGACGCCTGGGTGGCTCGGTCGATTGAG